GGCTAGCTGCCTTATGTGATATAACTGTTGAATGCCTGTGGATGGAGGTTGAATTACCTAAATTGGAATAATGCATTAAAACTGTGAGTTTTAAGCCCACTAGATAGTGGCAAAATCATCCTTTCTAAAAGCCCACTTGAGGGTGGCAAAATCTGCATTTTAGCCTACTTGCGAGTAGCAAACCATTTTCAAAACAAACATGAAATGTTTTGTTCCAATTGGGCGATTTGGTCTATACTTGTTTGCTGCGCGCATAACATAGTAATTCTAGGCTAATAATCGGGATAAGAACACATTAACGTTTTCAAAACAAGATTATCACATATCATGGTTAGTAGAGGCCGGTCTTCGGACCGGGCGAAAGGGGGTGCTCATAGCTGACCTTCCCCGATCGTACCCAAGCTCCCGAGCCGAGACAACTCCGGTGATGACGGACATGTGGCCTTCGGCACCGAGTCAGGGTTTCCTAAATTCTCCCATAAAAAATATTTAGGTGGCGACTCTGTATCTGGCAAAGCAGTCCATGTTTGGCACTTCTTTCAAAAAAATCTGTTTTTCTCAAAACAATTTGCCGGATTTGGACTCTTTGGTTCAGATTAAGAACCGTGACACAAATCGAGTCCGAACTGGAGCATGAGGCCCACGGGCGCGTCTACAACAAGAAACTGGCATAAGAATGGTTACAAATCCCATGTTCGAAGCCATACCTGGCACAAGGGGGTACACTAATCCCTTATTCGAATTTATACCCGGGGGGTTGGAGGGTTTTCCTACAAATGGCAGAGACACAACACTTGTTCCAGCACCTTTTGCAGGTCCTTTCGCAGGTCATGCTCAAAGAGGTTACCCATACCCTCAACAGCAACCTGCACCGCTAGGACAACCAGCCCCAAATTTACCACCTTATGGACCAAGAGGACCACAAGCACAAGTTTGTCCACCAAATTCTGTGTTTGTCCCTCCAGTAGTGGTTCAGCAGGCACAAAATTTGGTTCCTAGAGACCAGATTGCTGATATTGTTAGGGAGATATGTGGACCAATGGCTCGGGGGGTCCAGACTCCTATATACAGAAAACCATACCCAGAATGGGTAGATAGGGTACATGAATACCCAAGAGGATTCAGAATACCAGATTTTACTCTATTTTATGGAACTGGAAATCAGTCAACTGTAGAGCATATTGCTAGATTTGCTGCTCAATGCAGTGAATTCACTAATCATGATTATATGAAATTGAGATTATTTCCAAATTCTCTAACTGGAGGAGCATTCGTATGATACATCAACCTTACACCTGGGTCCATTCAAAATTGGCAACAGATGGAGGCATTCCATGCCCAATTCTTCCAATCAGAGCCAGAAATTTCCAAGCCAGACTTGGCTAGATTGAGTCAAAGGCCTGAGGAAAAGGCTACTCAGTTTGTTGCCAGATTTAAAAGGGCTCGGAATAAATGTAGAGTCATTCTCCCAGAGCCAGAGTTTGTAAGATTGGCTCAAAACGGTTTAGAGTTCAGGCTTCGAAAGAAGTTTGATTCAACTGAGTTCAGGGATTTGGTCGAATTAACCTATAAGTTGTCTAGATATGAAGCATTATTAGAAGAAGAACAAGATCGAAATAATGCCTCGTATAAGACATATTATAGAGATCCCAATTATGAAATCGATGCAGCAGAGATTGTGGGCAAAGAACCTGTAATTTATGAAGCATTGATTCATAAAGACACCACCATCGACCAGCAGTTTAAAAAGAAAGATTTCTATAGAAAGTATTCTTTCGATCTGGCAAAAGCAGATGACATTTTTGACCATCTGCTTGCAGCCAATTTCCTTAAGTTACCAAAGGGAGTAAAATTGCCATCTCCAGACGAACTTAAAGGGAAAATATATTGTAAATGGCATAACTCTTGGTCTCACTCGACTAAAAACTGCATTGTTTTTCGAGACAGGATCCAGGAGCAGATTCGGAAAGGAAGTCTGAAATTCCCAACCAAAACAGAAAAGATCATGGGGATTGATAATAACCCGTTTCCAGAAGTTGGAGAAGGCACAGTTAATGTGGTTGTACCAAACTTCCAGAATCTATCTCTGCAGGAGTTGGAAGAGGTCAACGTGCAAATGCATACTGTTAACCAGACAACTGCTAAGAAGGAGACTAGAAACCCACCAGCTATTAGACAAGGTTTCTCACATCAAAAGGAGCAATCTAACGAAGAAGCACTAGATGACAATTCCTTGGAAGCAGCTGTAATGCAGAGGATGTGTCCCAGGTGCAGACTGAGTCATAAATGGTTGAGGGGTGATGGGAAGCAATACTACAGGGATGTTCAGAGACGTCCTAAGTCAACCAATGCTTACAACAAAAGGCCGTATCCGGGTAGTGATAGGCAGCGACCATCAATGGTTGAACCTGCAGTGGACAGAATGCATGCTAAAGGCAAGAGGTCCTTGTATGAGTCTAGACCACCTAACTACTACAGAGTAGAAAGCAACCATTCTGAAAAAAGGTTGGGGAAGAGTTCAGGTTACGGGATTAAAGCCAGG